CCTTCCCCGGATACGCGCTGGAGCGCAGGGACTGCCCCAGAGGTCATGGCGCCAGTCTCATCTTGATCCGCCATGATGTCCCCTACACCGGACGAGACATCTCTCCCCTCCTATGCGGCGACACCACCATGGAGGCAATTGCAATCTCCATTCCTCTTAATGGCTCACCTCTCTGTATTATCAATGTATACATCCCACCAGCCTCCTCCTGCCCCCCGGGATATTCCCCGGAGCTTGTGGACATTATCTCCATCCCGGGAGACTGCCTGATAGTGGGTGATTTTAATGCCCACCATCCCTCTTGGTTCTCCCACACGGAAGACCAGAGAGCTGCAGCCCGAGGGACTGCAGTCGACGACCTCGTTGCTGGTTCCTCCCTTGCCTACCTCAATGAGGGACTCCCATACCTGCCTCCCCTCCCATTGCCCACCCTCCACTCCAGACCTTGCCATCATCAGCGGTCACCTACTCCTCAGCACCTCCTGGGCTCCGCAAGTCGCCCTCAACTCAGACCACCTGCCCATCCTGATCCATCTCCCTTCCTCTGCTGATTCCCCAACCCCCCAGGCCGCCCACTCCTATGTCAACTTCAAAAAAGCTGACTGGCCCGCCTACATGGCAGCCATTGAAGCGGCGCTCGAGACGGTCCCTCCCCCCACCTTGTGTGGCGGAGAGTTGACCTTAAGGGAAGTCTTGATGACCGCTTGACAGCATATCCCTGCCAGATTCAGGAAGGACTTCTCCCCATCAGTCAACCCTAGCACCTGGTTGCTCATAGAGCAATGGGATGATATTAGGGGTGAGCAACCCAACTGACCCATGACTCCCAGATCTCAACCTGAAAATAGGCCTCTCCATACAGGCCTACGCCAGGAACACATGGCAAACGCATCTTGCGTCGTGCAGCAGACGAACCAACCAATCCAAACATTGGAATCTCCTCCGCTCCCTAGCCGGAAAGCGGAACCGCCCTCCCCCCAATCAGCAAATCCAATTTGGTCATATTTCCCTCTCCTCCCAATGCAAGATCTCCGCCTTCTGCAAGCTTTTCACTTTGGTCGCTCCTCACTCTCAGAGCCCCTCCACCCGCCGCCTCATACATCGAATACAAGCCCAACATCCCCTTGACAGGGACTTCTCCCCTTTTACCCCCGACATGGTGAAGCTTGCCATCGCAGCTGCCAACAACTCTTCCGCTCGGGGTCCTGATGGCCTCATGGTTCTTCATCTTAAGCACCTCAGCCCGCATGGACTTCAGTTCCTCACCCATGATTTCAACATCTCTGTCTCCACAGCTTCCATCTCATCGGTTTGGAAAAATTCCATTATTATTCCAATTCTCAAACCGGGCAAACCCGGAAACCAGGGCTCCTCATACCGCCCTATCTCCCTCCTCTGCCCGGCAGCCAAGATTCTTGAGCGCCTGGTTCTCCCATATATCTTGGGATCTCTCACCCCCGTCCCCTCGCAATATGGTTTCAAGCCGGGACATTCCACTGTCACTGCCCTCCTCCTACTCGTGCACCAGATCGTGATGGGTTTTAACTCCTGGCGCCCTCCAGCCCGCACAATTGCCGCTGCAGTTGACCTCTTGAAGGCCTTTGACAGCGTCGACCACCCTCTCCTTCTGAGCATGATCGCGGCCTCGGACCTACATCATAACCTGGTCCGTTGGCTGTGCTAATACCTTAGAGGCAGGCTGGCGTCCTGCCTCTACCTCAGAACGCAGTCGCCTTCCAGGGCTGTTCACTTCAGAGTGCCTCAGGGCTTGGTCATCTCGCCAGCTCTCTTTAACCACTTCATCTCCGACATCCCAGTTCCAACCCCCAACATTGCCTCATATGCGGACGATCTGACCATCTTTGTGTCGTCCCGGAGGCTTGACGCTGCTGAGGCTGAGCTCGCTGTGCTCCTTCGGAACGTCTTGGATTGGTTGGCGGCCAAGAAACAGGGTGTGGCTCCTGGTAAATCCTCAGTCACGCTCTTCATACCAGACACCCACCAATCTCGATCCCTCCCTGCTGCCACTATCTGCAACAGCATCATCCCCCTGGATAAAACCTCTAAAATCCTGGGCGTCACCTGGGATATGCACTTTATTCTCCCCTCATGCAAGAGCCATCACCACAAAAGCGAAACGTTCTCTTTGCATCCTAAAAGCCCTAGCTGGTACCAACTGAGGCTTCTCCAAGGAGGACATTATTGCCACCTACCGAGCCATCACGCCCCCAATCCTCAACTACGCGGCCCCCATCTGGTACCCTGTTGCCTCATGTACAGCAGTTGCCAGCCTGCAGATAATACAAAACACAGCATTGAGACTAGCCACCGGCTGCCTCAAAATGGCCCTGGTCTCCCACCTTCACCAGGAGACCAGCGTACTCCCATTAGCCGCACATCTAGATGTGGCTTGTGCCCAGTTCCTTGCCAGGGCCCTGCCCTCCAGCCTTCCCATACCTCATTTCGTATAATTTCTGTTTTCCCTGGGGGAACGCCCCATGAAAGCATCCATCCAGTCGAGGTTCGGTCACCTAGTCACACCATTCTTGGATAATGGCATAATGCCTGCTGGTGCCTACAGAGAGGCCAAGCAGGCCCTCTGCAGGGAGATTGCCTCCTGTGTTGCGGCGACTGACGCCATAAATGCCGTACTTGCAGCCCCGCCACCGCCAATTGCATCAGTGGAGGCCTCACTTTCCCATCCCTACCGCTCAGCGTTATCCCAGCTTTGCTCAGGATACTGCAGCTCCCTGGCGTCCTACTCCGCCAGGATCGGATGCTCCCCTAGCTCTTCTTGCCCAGAGTGCGGGGATCCCCTCCAGTCCATTCAGCACCTCTTCACTTGCCCCGCCTTCCTCACATCTTTCGGCGTCTCCTCACTGTGGGACAACCCCGTGGAGGCAGCGGCTTTCCTGGCCACCCTCCCCGCCTTTGCCCATCTCCCCCTCTTCCGGTGCTGGCCTCCCGCCCACCACTGGAGCCTCCCCCCGGCATGCATGACAGATGCAACAAACAACAATAACAACAATATTTATTGAGTTGAAACTCATAGTCATTTGTGGACAATACAAGAGTGCTGATGATCATAGATGACCTAGACTGGAGAACTAGAGCCATGTTAGATGCCCTTGCCAAGGAAATAGTCGTGCACAGCCGGCAATGGATGGGGTGGATATGGCGGACATTTAGAACTAGAGAAGCAGCACCAATGACTGCACTCTTCAGAGGCTCAGAGCCCTTGTGCTCAGAGCCTTGTGAGTATTGCTGCCAACTTTGGTTGCCACTCAAGGTGGGTGCAGTGCGGAAATTAGGGACCGGGTCAGCAGACCTTCACATACAGGATCAGCAGCAAGAGGGAGCTGAACCTGAACTACTGGGAAAGTCTGAAACACCTGGGACTGTACTCACTAGAGAGGAGAAGAGAAAGGTATATCATACTGTACACTTGGAAGATGATAACTGGACTGGCTCCCGACTTTGAGAGTGAGACCTCCAGAATAGTGACACGTTACAATGAAAGTAGGGGGAGACTGTGCAGGGTTCCCCCATTTAATAACTGAGCTGTGGCCAGAGTACAGACTCTTCGTGAGGGATCACTGGCTGTTGTAGGACCGAGGCTCTTTAATGCCCTGCCAAAAGCACTGAGAGGAGGGGAGTTCAACCTTGCAACATTCAAGAGAAGACTGGACAATTGGTTGAGAAAGATCCCAGATTGTCCAGTAATGGAAAACTACCCCCAACAAGTGACAAGCAACAGCATCTTGCATCAGCTGGCCCAAAGGAGGGCAAATGTACGGAACATGTCCAACGTTACATCCGGGACCCGTGGGTAGGATGACCTGCCTAGCGACTACTTGGAGACGGAGGACAACAAAGGCGGCACATCAGCGTGACCGGGGATTAAGAAGTCCCAAACTCATCATAAGGTCATAAGGTAGGAAACACTAGGTCCAAAACATTTGAGTGCATAAAATCCTGGAGGATGTTGGACTTAGACTCTGAGAGGAATTGCCTTGCAAACTGTTTGAAAAAGGACATAGGGTAATTCAAATCTCTTGGCAATAATTCATCTGTCCAGTCTGTCTCTATGTAAAGTGAAAAAAATCAGCCTCAACACAGCATAAATATGGAGAGAGAAAATGTGTATCCATGCAATTTTATACAACAAAGTAGGAATAAGATGCACTGATTCAATTGGACATTAGTGTAGTTTGGCAGAAGTGTAGTCCAAACTACACATTAGTGTAGTTTGGCTCTCTGGTCTTCAACGAAACCTGATTCAATTGGAGTACACTTATTTTACTTCTCTGACATTTCATGTAATTGGAGGAAATTTAAACATGATTAGGTCAATAAGGCATTTCAAATAATACACCTATAAATATAACCTGAGTTTGACTCATACATTAACTGTGATGACTGATGACATGCACTTCATTCATTGTTCTCTGGTGGCCAGGAATAGATTTCTTTTTAGCACATTTCTCATTTATGGAAAAATGCACTATTGTGCTCGCCATGTCCGTCTGTCCGTGACCTCAAGTATTCGTCGACAAGAAAATGCGCTCTCTGTCACTCACTGCAGTGAGTACTGAGTTATAATTTTTAGTGTCTAAACCTTCTACTACTACTACACGCACATTCCAGGTAGAGGGCTTGTAAGGACCTCTACCTGGAAACTCTGACTTGTATGTGTCACAGGCTATGATTTTCCACTTGACACTACCATTTCTACCTTTAAATGGTTCTTGCAGCAAAAAATAGCTTTGTTTTGTGAGCTGACCAATCCTAATAAAATTAGTTTCAAGTTTCTTTCTCTGCATAGTTGATATTTCCACTGAAAATGCCATAAACTGGAGTAATTCTGGTCACAATGGTTAGGATCATGAATTAGAAAATTTAGCAAACAACATTTATTATGATGTCAGTATTGCAGGTATTGATTGAAATCAGCCCAGTTGATGTTACCTGGCATGGTTAATGTTGCTGGAGACTTGAACTGTGATCTTCTAGATAATTGTTTAGTAACTCATTGAATGCAGTTCCCAAAAACTAACAGCTGCCCGCTGGTGTTTGGGTTTCAATTGAACCTTCTAATTTAAAATACTAAATATGCTTTTTCTGGTATTCAATCGCATTACTTAATACATATTCTATTTTACTATTTGTTTTTAGTAACCACAGAAAAATACCATGGGTCGTTGTTCAAAAGATAAGAGGGATATTTATTACCGCCTGGCTAAGGAAGAAGGATGGAGAGCACGCAGTGCATTCAAGCTCTTACAGATAGATGAAGAATTTAATATATTCAAAGGTAAGTAGTGCCTAATTTATTTTTGTAGCTGAATATAAGACAGCTTCGATGCACACACTACAGTGACAGATGAATGATTTTTACTTCCCCTGCTTCATGGTTACAGTGTTCTTCAAGATACATTTAAAATATTATCAAATCTCCGACATCAGATTACCTACCTGTTATAATGGATGGTTACTTTTTTTTTACCAGAAGCCCAGAGCCTTTAGAATACTTGTCATGTGGTTTTTATTAGTGGTTTTAAATATTTGGATGTACATCACTAGAATTGTGTTGCCTGCCTTCAATTTCAATTTTATGCTGGAAAACATTATTTACACATTTTGTAGTTAACAATACTGATTGAAATATTGTTGATTTTCTATTTTAAAGTGCAACTGAATTGTACTGTCATCACATCCCCTAGTCAGGTCAGAGCCACACAGAGGTTCTGGTAATTTGCTACATCCCACTGTCCCACATGCTGCTCTTTTTATGGCAATTTAACATCAGGTGGCTATCTGATTCTGAAAGTGGACCAAATACGTATCTTTTTAAATTGTGTCTTGTTGATAATTAAAACTAAATTCTTTACTAATGCATTCAATGGTTGATATGACAGACAGATAAAATATATAACATTTTTACAATATAAGTTAACTAGTTAACTTATTTATTTAGAATTGAGTAATTGTGTATGAAAATAGGTATTAATGAAGTGCATAATTTTGAAGGATAGCTTTGCTGAATATTGAAAGAATTCAGTAGGTATGTGTGGAGTTGCAACATTATGAATTATATAGCCGCATTCTCACTTGTTGATTGCAGTTTGGGTTTTTCATTGATTATATACACATAATATAATTTATCAGTATAGGTAGGTATTATAATTTGTCATAAATTTAGTAGGTACTTCTGAAATGACCAAAAACCATATAAAGACAGGCAGTCTGTGTGCAAGATGGATCTTAGTTTGTGTGTCTGAATATCTTTTAGTTCAGGACGAGTGCAGTGCATTACAGTTGATAACTACACAAGGAAAGTTTCTCTTGTTCTGTTCCAGGAGTGACAAGAGTTGTTGATCTGTGCGCTGCTCCAGGAAGCTGGAGTCAAGTGCTGCTGAGAAAATTGAGGTAGGTAACTCTTCTATTTATTTGATGGACAGGTCTCTATGATTGGCCTCAGGTAGAAAAAAAGTCTCTCTAAATAAGTTATTCACAAGTTATTTTTATGCATGTAACACTGGACAAGAAATTTTGAAGCAAGAAATCGAAATCAAATCTGTAGACTTTGATGTTTCTAAAAACATTACCACTTTAACAATTGAAATGATGAATCAGTAATGTATGATTATTGATGTATTTTTGCTGGAATTCCTATGTATCAACATATTTTTTGTCACATTTAAAGTTTTTTAGTTGTTGATAAGGATGATGCTGCATATGGTTATTAGTGATTTTTGATCGTGCATTCTTGTCTGAATATGTTTCTCAATTTAACCTAATTTACTCATTATTATTTATAGAAACATTTATACTAATGCCTAAAAAGACTAATGAGAGATGTGCATTACATACTCATTCATTAAATTATACACCGGTAGTGCAAGAATAATTCTAAAAAATATGATGAATTTTCTTGTCATTGTCTGTATTCTAAAATTCTTGCCTTATTTTTTATTGCATCAATCAAATGATGTTAAGACTCATCATAAATTCATGTTCAGGCACAAATCAGCAGCTCCAGATGAAGTTAAGATTGTGGCAGTTGATCTGCAGGCAATGGCTCCCCTGGAGGGCGTGACATGCATGCAGGGCGACATCACGAAGGTGGAGACAGCGCATGCCATCATTGAGCACTTCTCCGGGGACAAGGCCCAGCTCGTGGTGTGTGATGGTGCTCCTGATGGTGAGTGATGGTGGTGTGTGATGGTGCTCCTGTTGGTGAGTGCTGGTAGTGTGTGATGGTGCTCCTGATGGTGAGTGCTGGTGGTGTGTGATGGTGCTCCTGATGGTGAGTGCTGGTGGTGTGTGATGGTGCTCCTGATGGTGAGTGCTGGTGGTGTGTGATGGTGAATGGTGGTGAGGGATGATGATGCTGGTAGTGGCCGACTACACTCCTGATGGTGAGATGTGCTGGCTGGTGTAGCATCCTAGTTCACAGAAAAAGGTGCTATTGTATGTTAGCATGCTGCTGGGGGCGTTGACAAGGCTGGTGGTGGTAGGTAATGGTGCTGCTGGTTTAGTCAATACTTTGGTCATTCCATGACATGTCTCTAATATTCTCGTCTCCCCAACACTCCTTCCACCCTGCATGCCACGTTTGTCTCCCTCTGGTGACCATCATCAGCCAATTTTTCTTATCAACTCCATTGTTTGCCTCTGACATGAAGTCAACACCTTTGACACCAGTGATGACGTAACGACACACGCCTGTAACACAAATCACACGCCTGTAAGACACGCCTGTAACACAAATCACACGCCTGTAACACACAACACACGCCTGTAACACAATACAGGCCTGTAACACACAACACACGCCTGTAACACACAACACACGCCTGTAACACACAACACACGCCTGTAACACACAACACACGCCTGTAACACACAACAGACTATTGTAACACACTATGTAACACACATCACTCATATAACTCCTCGTCACCAGTGACGGGCCTCCACGACCTGGACGAGTTCGTACAGTCGCAGTTGCTGGTCGCGGCGCTGAACATCGTCACGCACGTGCTGCTGCCCGGCGGCACCTTCGTCGCTAAGATCTTCCGTGGTCGCGACGTGTCGCTCCTATACGCGCAGTTCGAGCTTTTCTTCCAACACGTCGAGATCGCCAAGCCTCGCGCCTCTAGGAACTCCAGTATTGGTGAGCACAAACTGGTATATGGTGTGCTCACCTGGAATACATTGTGCTCATCTGAGGGTAAGCTGAAACTGGTATATATTGTGCTCACCTGGAATACATTGTGCTCATCTGAGGGTAAGCTGAAACTGGAATACATTGTGCTCATCTGAGGGTAAGCTGAAACTGGTATATATTGTGCTCATCTGGGGGTTAGTAGGAAACTGGTATATATTGTGCTCATCTGGGGGTTAGTAGGAAACTGGTATATATTGTGCTCATCTGGTATATATTGTGCTCACCTGAGGGTCAGCTGAAACTGGTATATATTATGCTCATCTGGGGGTTAGCTGAAACTGGTATATATTGTGCTCATCTGGGGGTTAGTAGGAAACTGGTATATATTGTGCTCATCTGGTATATATTGTGCTCACCTGAGGGTCAGCTGAAACTGGTATATATTGTGCTCATCTGGGGGTTAGCTGAAACTGGTATATATTGTGCTCATCTGGGGGTTAGTAGGAAACTGGTATATATTGTGCTCATCTGGTATTTATTGTGCTCACCTGAGGGTCAGCTGAAACTAGTATATATTGTGCTCATCTGGGGGTTAGCTGAAACTGGTATATATTGTGCTCATCTGGGGGTTAGTAGGAATTGGTATAGTTTGGTGCGCACCTAACCGTGAGTAAGAATTGGTGTAGATTGATGCTCACAAGATGGCGAGCAGATATGCTTGGTTTATGTAAAGCAATTGTAGTAATTGATGTTGTTGCATACAACTGCGAATAGCTTGTGGTGATTTTCAATGTAATTTATTTGAGAACATATGGACCTTGTTCAAGTGTTGAGCAAACTATTTATTTGTATGGTGAAGATGATGATGTCCATCTTAACTTCAGTGTCAAAATGCGGCTTAACTGTGCTGCATGTAATTTGCTGCTGACCGATGAAGTGATAGTTTTGGGAGTCATCGTTGGGCCACTTAAAGGAGAGATCCTTCAGAACTGCTGTGTTGTTGCCACTGATCTCAGTGTTGCGGACGTGCGAGGGTTGCTCAATTGTCTGTGTTGTTGCCTGACGTGTGTGTGGTGCTGACTGACGTGTTTGTGGTGCTGACGTGTGTGTGGTGCTGACTGACGTGTGTGTGGTGCTGACGTGTGTGTGGTGCTGACGTGTGTGTGGTGCTGACTGACGTCAGTGACGTGTGGTGCTGACACGTGTGGTGCTGACGTGTGTGGTGCTGACGTGTGTTGCTGACGTGTGGTGCTCACGTGTGTGGTGCTGACGTGTGTTGCTGACGTGTGTGTGGTGCTGACGTGTGGTGCTGGTCTCGGTGCTGCAGAAGCGTTCGTGGTGTGTCGCGGCTACTCCCCTCCCCCGGGCTACACGCCCACCATGAGCAACCCTCTGCTGCACGCCTCCTCCGCCACGCACGACTGGAAGGACCAGCTCCTGGGGCCTGTTGATCGTCTCATCGTGCCCTTTGTGACATGTGGTGACCTGTCAGCCTACGATGCTGACACCTCATACTCCCTGCTGGTGGGTGCCTCTACCGTCTTATTGGTTTGCCGCGTGAAATTCTGCTTTTATTAAAGTTGTATTACAGTTGCGCATCAGGGGATGGTGCAATGTTGGGGCATGGGGCTGCAAGTTGTTGGGAAATTCCGTCTACGAAGATTTTACTCTTTTAAGAGTTAGTTAAGTCATTATCCAATGTGCTTTTAAAATTTCTGCGGCAGCGTTCGTTACAGCTCAAGTTGTGTTTTTAACGGCGTGTTTGCTGTGGAAATTCATTAATTATTTCCTTTGAAGATGATCACTTGTTTTGATTCACGATCGTTTGCGATACTTTTCAATTGTTGAAACGTGCTACTCCAGAACGATCAAAAATTTTTCATTAGCGAAGAATTAAAAAATGCATAGAAGCAGCTGTTTCTCATTTGAATAGAAAAAAAAACTAGCTAGGTATCGATTCCGATGTCAATCTTGCATTTTCCGAGATCTTTTGGGAATGTTATATCCAGATATTTAGCAAAATTAATTATAAATCAATACAGAAAACTCGTTGCTCATTTTGTCTACGCCCCAACAACCGAAAACAATCCGCATTTAAATAATTGAACCCCTTGGATGAACCAGATACCTGATTGTTTCTCAATGTGTAGCGACGTTACGGCTATAACACCCTCTAACCTAATTGTTATTTGGGTTTTACTTTTGTGTTATTGGTGCTGCTGCAGGAGCTTGGGATTGGTGAGCCGTACAGCTATAAACCTCCTGTTCAGCCGCCCATCAATCCAGCCTACCAGTCCGCTCTGGACCAACGCCGGGCGACCGCTACAGCCAACCCGCCTCCTGCTCATGACATCCAGGACCAAGAGAGTGGCCACCAACAGAGTCCATTTATTCTTCCGTAACCGTCGTGTTAGGCAGGCAGTGTGAAGGTTGATCTTGGAGCAGCAGTGCACGGCTACAACACGTCCGTCGTTGCGGGCGGACGAGGCGCGGAAGGCTTAAGGGTGGTTGTTCCCGGGTTATCAACTGCGTGGTTACCAAAATGACTGTTCCGGGGCGCTGCAGGCCAGGGGGCGGTGGGCCCAGGATCGCGCGGCGCGAAGATGTGAAGCTCGAACTCTTCAGGGTAGCGAGTTTTGTCGGCCAGTTGTTCGAGAGGGGAGGCTTTGTTATTGCCGTTTCTTCTGGATATCGTTGGCGGTAATATGCCTCTATTTGGAGTGTAATTCTACGTATCAACAGAGGTTCACATAGCGTGAAATTAACCCCCATAAGATGTTTTGCAATCTTATTGTCTCGAGCCAATATTGGCCTCGCTTTGTGTTCTAGATCACAAGCCGCCGCACTCCTCGAGAGACGGCTGAAGAGTAAAATATACAAGCCGAACTGTCTTCGGAAGTAGTCTGACTATAGTTGGACCCACTTCATCATTACCATTTTTGTGTCCATTATTACTGTATTTCCATTATAACACATTTTTGACATTCTACTTCATCTAGACCACTCGAACGTCTAAAATTTCTGCTAGTCTTTAAAATAACCTCCGGCTTTAACTTCATCTTCAGTTGTTTCAGTCATCCACGATCGTATGGTCCGCTGGCTGAGACTTTGAAAATTTTAGATGTAGTTCCTTGCCGCTACATAATGAAGGTTCATTACGGAGAGGGTTGTATTTATTGACAAATAATGGAGATTTCAGTTAAAACATGCAAATAGGACCTTGACTTGATTACATTATGCCTCATGAGTCATGTCCTGCTTCAGATTTTGAATTCGAGTAAACTTCTCAGCCTTCCGTGTACGTTATATTGTTATCCCAGCTTTTCAAGTTACCCTGTGACACCTTCTCTTCTCCACCGATCTGAGCAGGACCACTCTACTCTAACTTATTACTCGCACAAAATTTAGAGATTCTCCACTCTGGTACGACCGAGTTTAGTGAGTGACACCTTTATCAGACTGCCGTGCAGCTTTGTCATAAAAATTTCTCGTATACTTGACTTTTCATATCCCGTTTTAAGGCACGAGGCGTTTAAATTTTGTTTAGCAATTCGAAATGAGTGTTTTTAGGGCACCCGAGGCGATTTGTGTGTTGAGTGAAGAACACCATTTCCCGACAAAGTTAACTTTGAATTCGAGTGATGAGGAAAATTCTCTGATTCTGCTCGCAAGTTTCCATTATGATGATATTTAATGAGAATATTTTAGCTGTTACTTGCTACGTGGAACTGAGCTCAGGGACTGTCATTCAAATCATCTGCGAATCATACTTAGATACCCTGTCATATCGTATATGCGATGTATTGTTTTCTATGCCTGTGATTTATTAACGACCCAACTGGAGTCTGCTGCGCTCCCGCTGCTCATCGTGTTCCCCGTTCACGCATAGTGCGCCAATCAGCCCTGAAGGGAACGTTTAGCTTATTTCCGTGAACTGTAACCAGCTTTCAACGGACTGCGACCTATCAGGCTAGCTCGTCAGAGGAACTTCATGCAACCTGCCTGGCTGCCATGCACCAACAGACCACGGATCGGATATGACTTCCGGGGGATCGTTAGGTTAGATAGTAAATTAGGTTTCATATAGTTAAGTTTGGTTACGAAATCTATCGTCTATCGACGAGAGGTAATTCAATCATGTGGGCCGATTCGATGTTGATGATGAATACTGACTGGATGGTGGCGGACATTATATTGACTGCGGGGCTCCAACGCTCTGCGTGCGAGTGGTGCAGAATTTTTTCGAGCTTTGGTAGACGATGAGAGGCCATACTATAGCAGGCTGTTTCCCTGTGGACTGATTGGTCTATTTCAATGGATTTGATCGGTCTGGTAGCTTGTGGCTTGTAATGGGGTCCTGAAGTTATGGAGGATACATTATTGTGGACGGGATCATGATGGTCCAAACGGAACAGGGCTGTGGGGCAACCCTGAGTAGCCACTGTAGCGCAGTGGAAAAAGGCACCAAATTCAGAGGGACTAGCCATTGGTTCGAACTATTTAGAGTTCAATTCATTTTCTCTCTGTCACTGATTGGCGGAGCCTATTATAGGCGTCAAAGCGGCGCGTCAGCGTGCTCGTGCGCCTTACCCAAAATGAACTCCAAGTACATGTTAGCTAGGAAGATCTGAAGGTCTCCCCTTATGTTTTTTTACTAGTTATATATTCTCACTGTGTTAACAGATGTGGTAGTGAATTTTAAAAACATCAAAGACAAATGATGCCTTAGCTGCTGCCCTGATTTTAAGGCAAAAATAGCTTTCCAAATTGGCGATACTAAACTGTTATCCAAAACTTTCTTTCCTAGTCAAAGTTCTGCCTTCTCTGGTGTTGCTGCTCTGGGTTCTTGACATTAGATTGTACGACCAGTACTAGTAATGCATTATTTACTTTAGACATAAGGTTTGAATGATAGAATTTATTCGATTCATCAGCAAAGTTTGTGATAAAATTTAACGGTTTACTAAAAACCTATGAAGTCCACGGAAAGAATATTCACGATCTATTAACTGAACGGCTCAAAAAATCTTTTTAAGCCCGCAACGAAGAATAAATCACATGGTATTAAAAGTCCAATTTCAGCAGAATTGATGATTTAATTTTGAATGAGATAAGTTTTAAATTTTCAGAGGTTTAAAACGCATGTTCCAAAAGCCGAGCTGGTTTAATGGTTACAGTTGCAAGCGCATCAGATCTCGTTTCATTCGTGCACCTACAGGGAGAAACTTGTCTAGTAAGGCTTGGCCACGGTTAAGTCGATTTCCAGGTTCAAGAAGTCATTGCCTGATTTCTGAGGCCAATAGCCCCCACTACCAGACCCGTGGTTATCATCGTCGCTTGAATCGCTTCCACACACGCACCATCCGTTGCCGTCTCCGTTGCCGCTCTCGTCACTGTTACTCTCTATGGTGCCACTATCATCACTACCACTTTCAGTGCTTCCACAATCTCCTTCAGATATGTGATCTTCATCTGTTGTTGTGTACCCGTCCGTAGAATAAGAGCTAAGTTGGCCATCTTCCTCGGTGAAGTTACCAAAGTCGTGAACTGTCACGCTGCCACCACTGGTAGGGAAGTCGGTCACAAGTGTTCCGTCCGTGGTGACGTTCGAAAAGCCGGTGGTTCCGCTTTCCTCGCTGTGTCCTTCGTTGCTGCCTTCCGTACTTCCTTCGTTGCTCTCTTCATTACTTCCTTCCTTACTTCCATCATTGCTGCCTTCCTTACTTCCCTCGTTGCTGCCTTCCTTACTTCCTTCCTTACTTCCATCATTGCTGCCTTCCTTACTTCCCTCGTTGCTGCCTTCCTTACTTCCATCATTGGTGCCTTCCTTACTTCCCTCGTTGCTGCCTTCCTTACTTCCTTCCTTACTTCCATCATTGCTGCCTTCCTTACTTCCTTCGTTGCTGCCTTCCTTACTTCCTTCGTTGCTGCCTTCCTTACTTCCTTCGTTGCTGCCTTTCTTACTACCTTCCTTGCTACCTTCCTTACTTCTTTCGTTGCTGCCTTCCTCGCTAATGTCCTTGCTGTCTTCTTTGCTACCACCTTTGCTGCCTTTCTTGCTATGTTTTCTTCTATATTGAACGATTTTTTCGTCTTCCGTGATGTTTACTTCAGAATTATCTCGATACAGACGTCGCCCGGCGGCGTCCGCAGTGCTGCGCTGCAGACCACTGCGGAAAGTAAATTTAGTCGAATTTTGTATTGCTCAGGACGATAATTAACGCACTTTTCAGTGTCAGCTTATAAATTCATGTGAGGGAAAACATTTTTTCCAGGCTTCCTATCTATAAAAAAACTCCGTATTACCCATATTATCAATGGCATGGAGTAAAAATGAATTGTAATGCATATTAAAGGTTAATCTATTCAATGCACTCAAATTTGCCGCTAATTGAATTTGTTTTGTTTTATTTTAATTTCGAATTTTAGTGTCCGTCCACACGAATGTTTCTTAATTTTACTGGCAAGTTCAGTCCAGCTTCACGTCTAAATTCTTCTCCATTTGAATCACTGTCATTACGTTTTTTACTCATTACGTTCTTAGCCGCAGTTGCTCAAGTTGCGGTATTTCTAAAACATCATTACCGATTTTTCCGCTTCTGCAGCAGCTTTTACACAGATTTCATCACCGAATTTTGTTGCCGCCAGTGAATTTATTTGATCTTTAGTATATTAATTTTTAAGTGCAGGTGATGTGCGATGTTTCAATTTTAATTCAAGTTTCTCTTACCTGAGCCTCGATTGTTAGCAAATTTATTGTTCTGAATAGGATTTAACTTAAGAGTGATGAACGGTTAATTTCGATGAGAAAATAAACATTTGCAAAATCTGCATAAAACTATCGTTGATCAATGCAATACTACTTGAAAATATTGCAAACAATTTCAATAAATAGAACAAAGGCGAACAACAATTAACATTTTAAATGTCATAACATCGATAAACGTGAACGTAGATCTAAGATTGGTAATCAGTTGAATGCTCATCAGAAATAAACCCTTTAGCAACCTGCTACCTTGCAAGTGCAAAATATTACATTGCATTCATACCACATTGCTGAATTTATTAATTGAAAAAGACCTAACATGTGACAAAAACCTCCAACTGGGATGCATAGGCAGCCTGAAATTGAAGCCAATATATTTGTCCATTTGGACGAATGATCTTCAAATATAAACAAAAATCGCCCTTATGAACGGTGAACGATATGTACAGCGAGACGCTTAAGAGTTAAAATGCCTTCATAGAACATAAAAATAAAAAAGAAGATTGTTCACCTTCTGTAGATGGGGTCTGATGGTCCGAGGCCTCCTGACGACACTCCTATGAGCAAGTAAAAAATAATAAAGAACAGACTAGATTTAACTTTAACACTCAATTTATGCATGATGTAAAGCGCAAGATGGTGAAACATCGGCTTTTAATTTATAAATTTCATCGCAGACCTACTTAATAAGCATTAACGAAATATCGTTTTTCAGTGGGATGTTTCAGTCCCAAGTATCTTCAGAACTGTCTCATGCGTAGTTAATTATTAGAACAGTAAAAACACTTACAATTGACAGGGACTCGTGTAGTAGTCCAAGAGTGTTGATGTTATTTTATCGTTACACAAGAGATTCTAGACAGTTTATTGGGCGAGGGAAGATTTTAGAGGGGGAACAGGTACTCCGTTCAACGGTAGCGTAAAGTTTCTATGTATTGGTAATTGAAACCTGATTTTGCGAAAAATTTATTAATTTCCTTCTTTATTTACTACAGAGCATACAAATTTAATTGATTTTGCTCGTATTCCAAAATGCAAAAGATGAATATTTATAATTACTAGCTCCGGGAGAGAGAATATATTTTTTTTGCAGAGAATACTGAAAATTTGACCTTAATGTGGAAGTTTTTGTATAACCATTTACCGCTCCAGCGCTATATTAGCCTAAATCAGGTACTAGACAGTTAGGCGTCCTTATAATTTCGCTATTCCCTCTAATTTGTACAGCTTTCATTGAGATGAGAAATTTCATTTATTTCTCTCATTGAGAAATAAATGAGTTTAGAAGAATTATTTCCGCCTTAGCTCTCCAACGACTCCCACATTGAAAAAAAGGCAATTGTTTCGGTTTCAACAATTTCTCAGCAGCTTCTGTTATTTCGTCTGAAAATAAACATCTATATTGATCAAGAATACAGTTAAATACAACGTAAAATATTCTTTGCAAAATCGTAATTTTTCTCGTGGACAGCATTTTCGCAATATCTAATTAATTTTGTAGTGATTTTGAGATGTGACTACCGTGAATAGGCTAATTCAGGCATCGAGTTAAGGCTGTGAAACTGTTTTACTATTGATAAATTTTGAATTGTTTTCAAGATCTGAAACTCATTTACACGAGTTGGTAAGCAACTCACCTGATGCCGGGAAGCAGATCTGAAAAATATCAGAAAACAGTTAAATTAAACATGGATCTCGCTGCAGGTTTGACAAAGTGTGAAATGTTTCATCTGCGATAGATTATCCCTGCTGTAGGTCTAATTGCATGCGAGGAGGATATTTTTAAAAACTGCCTCATCAGTCAATATTTGCAGTAAATATTGAGAAATAAGAATCGGGTGATTTAATTGTAGAGCTGAATCGAAGATTACTGTAGGAAGAATATGAATAGGATTCATTTGTCAACCAATGTAAACGCGGGGATCGGATCTCGTATAAAAAATCGTAAATATCATATCAGGATTGCCGCTTAACGCCCATTACAGGTGGAGGCTAAGAAAAGATTACTAAAGAACTGTAGATTGTCATCTCTATTGGATTGACCCGTTTAAAAATTACAAGTATTCTACATAAATTATTTAGAAAAAGGATTCCCTTTAAAATTAACCTCAATTTTAAATGCCTACGGTTTAAAGACAGCAGTCTGCACTGAAAATATAATTAGTTGAACTTACCGCCAGAGTGGCGCAGCATCCCAACAGCAGAAGCTGCATCTGGAAGCACAATGGAAACTGAATATTATATTCATTTTTAAACAAGAAATGGTTTGATCTATAATTTTAATGCAGAATACATCAGTTTACAAACAACCAACTTGTTGCAAATCTACGGGTGAGGTGAAATTTATCGCAGTAATTTTACCATGGTCGTAAGCCTCATTCAGAAGCTCAAATAAGAAAAATAAATTAATGGTTAACTCGTGTCTTGATACTCGTTAATTCATAAGGCTCTCACCTTCATTTTTGTTTTGATGCTCGAGTTTTTGCTCAGTGCACTAAAATCTCGGTTAAGTGTGGAGTTTCAAAGACACCTAGGGTCCAATGTTGGCAACGGCCAGAGATGGACTCTATAGTTCGTGACAGCCGTTGCTCTTTTTAAAGGCTCGCGCACCGTGCAAGACTTCACTGCAGTGACGGTTTCATTATATCACTTTCATAGTCGCTTGAAAAATGACTGTGACTCACACGCGCTTGATTTGCGTATACTAAAGGAATTGTATACGTGACTTTTGAATGATAGTTCAATTATAAGTGGGCAGTAATTGATTGATCCAACTACCGTACTACGTGATAAATCAATTCCAGAAAACGCATGATAGTGCCCTCATTTTTCCGCGGTCTTTTGGGGTAAAAATATAACGTATGACGAAGAAGCCCTTTTTTCATCACGGCATCTCTTCTTCTGTTGCAGTTTGGCAGTAGCATATTGTAAAGATATGAAATAACAGACCACGTGACATATCGCTTATTTTATTTATCGCGTGCGTCTTTATACAGGGTGGGGCAGAGCCGATTGGGCAGTTTTGAGGCGAAATAAAAGAGTAATGGAGGTACATAAAGAAGAAAGTTTATTTTCCTAGAGGTTAGCATAACATACCATTTAGAATACTTATGTTTTGAAAATAATATCAGGAGGATGGTGACCGTTAGCTGCAACACACTGTTGGAGTCGTTCTTGGGGTCTCTGAGAGGTGATTTACAGTGGCCTGCAAGGTCACTTGATTTCAGCATTTACGATTTCTTTCTTCGGGGACATCTAGAAGAAAGAGTGTTCAGAAGTTGCCCTCACACCCTACCACAGCTAAGGGAACGGATTATTGCAGAGGTTATGGCCATACCTCGCCATATGTGTGAACGTGCTTTAGGTAACTTCCGAGAACGACTCTAACAGTGTGTTGCAGCTAACGGCCACCATCTTCCTGATATTATTTTCAAACCATATGTATTCTAAATGGTATGTTATGCTAACCGCGATGAAAATAAACTTTCTTCTTTATGTACCTCCATTACTCTTTTATTTTGCCTCAAAACTGCTCAATCGGTTCTGCCCCACCCTGTACATATAACAAAAGTAGTGTTGCATGAAATTGCTGGAATACGTACGTGCTTCACTTTGAGTGATTAAACGTAATTTGTTTAGAAACTTTTCTCAAATTGGAAGTGGTTGTTATTGTATTGATTGTATTGGAGGGAGTATCTGAGAATGGCTGGGCATAAGATACGTTTTATGTTAGTTTAGAAGTGCTATGATCTATTAATTTTGTGCAAATTCATCTGTATTCCGTCTGTTTTGAAGGAGATTCGTTTAGATTTTGTAATCTTTGTTGTAATTAGCAATTTTGTACTGATGTGTTATTCTGTGGAATGACACGTTATGTTTTAGAACTGTACACTCGCGTGGGTGCTATCCTCTTGTTATTTTTATATTATTGCCGAAAAATAATCTGTTTTCTACCATGGGTTGTTGTGGTGGGAAGCTGAATTTATTGAAAGTAAACCTCTTTAAGAACGGCAACGAACTTCTTTAGGGGTTTCTTTGTACACTTGAACTGGCGGACCTATGGGATAGCCTATTCTGTTCTGTCAGTAAGGCATTCCAGCTGCTGGAGTTGGAGATGGAAGCAGAAGGTTAGGTGGACGATTTTGCACCTGAGTCCGGTATTTCACATTTTATCGTATCATTTTCGATAACATTTATCCTGCCATTTTCGATAACATTATAAAGACACATAGAAGTGAGCGATCTATGCGGTGTGTCTCAGTGCAAGTAGTATGGTGTGGGCTTAGTGGTGGGAGGCGTGTGGCGTGTGTGTTCTATTTCCTAAAACTACGTCGTTGACATTTATTATGCGTGCGTTATGCGTGTGTGATTTGCTAGATGTTCGTAGAACCTGTTGTGGTGTGATTATGTTGAAAAAGAAAACGAACTCTGAATCAGAGCTCCATTTTCATAGGGTTCTACGTGTTAAGCCTTAACACGTAGAACGTGTTAATAACTTAAATAAGGTAACGACAAATTATAATACCCACTTATCACTTCAATCACACCCTTTCAGAAGTTGTAGTGATTCCAGAAGTATAATCTAATTAAAATATTATTTAAATATTGCTAGATGCCTTAACTATGTACAATTCTTACCCGTAAACCATATCTGAACATCAACGCCTGGGCACAATATTTTATAAGCAATGTTGATCAGCAACATCAAGCCAGTTTCTCATCCGTTTAATCCTAGCACTTCACCGTCATATTTTATTATTTCTTATGCATATTCGGATAAAGACATGTACGAAAATTGCTATTCGTCATTTGTCTGTATAATTTGTAACATTCTAGAAGCATTGTAAAAGAAATGACAGAACAACATGCGTGGGAGACATATAAGAATGATGTGAAAATGAACGATTTATGATGTGTCGCATATCTGACATCGAAATTTATTATAGTTCTTTGGAAAAGTCCTCATGCTATGCATCAAAACTGAACGATGAAATTAATAAATTTGGAACACCTTCAATCTTTTGTAAGGCTTTCAAAGGATTATTGATTTTGAAAAGGAACCTTCACGCCAACGATGTTTCTTGACGTGATGATTGAATAACGTTATTGAAACCTGCTGAAAACTGTTATTTTTTTATACTTGTTGAAACACGATTTGTGATCGAGCAACAGGGACACGACTAATTGAGCAACATTCACTTGTAACCGAACTGGTACTCAATAGCAGTTCATAACTTGGTGAAAAGAGCAGCGTGACAATATCTACAATATATGTGTGCAAGAGTACAAAAATATGAAATTTAAGTATAATGTTTGGAAAACCTGAAAAATAAACATGATCATTTATTCGTCTGCCATCTTTGACTATGTGGCTATTTTGTTTTACGATATTGGCATAAATGGATTCAAACCTTTCAAAACAAAGTTCGAGTTCCTAAGATGGTGAAGATCAGTCAATAGAGAGCCGAGCTATCTTTTTAAAAAAATTTGACCTCGGGAAATTTTACAGCGTTTTATCGCCTCCACGTGACAGTATTTTCGATCTATTAGCGCAGTAATTTTTAACTGTTTGACCATGTCAGATGGGGCCTTAACAAAAGAATAAATTTCAAATTTCATACATGTAATATATTTTTTTCTTCATTTGCGCTGCAAGCTGCAACTTATCCACGCGACAACATTTCTTCTCGCTTCGAATCACCGACATGTGGAACAGCCTCCCCGATTACGTCGTTGGCGCTCCAAGTATGAACGCGTTCAAGAACAGACTAGATAAAGCTATGGAAAAATATATGTTCAGATTTGAAATTCCTAGCACCATATCGAACTCGGTGGATGTCTAGTAGCTACTTCAAACTATCGTCAGTCATGAAAAGAACTATTGAAAAAGATGAACTATTGAACTATTGAAAACATAACTATTTTTTGAAAAATAATATTTACAACAAGGAGGCTGATCAAGGAATGCCGAGTATACCATTCAATGGAAAAGAAAAATTGCAACCCTTTTACATCTCGAATAAAGTAAAAAAGTCGCAGACTTGATGAACAATAATATTCAAAGTTTCTTGAAATTTCCTCTCATTAAAACTCTTTTAATAGAAAGTTTACATATTTTTTGTTACTGGTCGCCGCTTATAAATAAATAGCCGGGTAAGCATGGAAAAATCCATATTGCCATCTCATTTACGAGTGGAGTAAAGTCTATTCTAATTTGTGAAGAAACGCATAGGGAAGAGCAGAGCCTGTTCGAAGCCTCGCGACCCTCAACCAGGGCCTTAAGGCCAAGGTAACTAGAGTTATCTAATTAGAATTGGACTGAAATTGCTTAGGGGCGACTTGATGTAATTGGTCGGTTAATTATAACAACATCAATGATTAATGCTTTATTTTATTAAGCTCACGTGACCTGCTCGATGAAGGTGGTCACGGGAGGAATTGGGAGACCAGGATCAGTAGTGAAGATGAGATGCTGGTGGCTCGGTGAGATGCACATGGCTACGCGTGGTGAGAGGAGACACACGTGGCGCGATGAGACGTTGTCGTGGTGATGTTATTATTGTTACACAGTGGGACGCAGTATAGACCCCTACATAGCCCTTGTCCACAATTCAATATCTATTCCTTTCCGCTCGTAATCACGCTAGAGGGCATATTAGCCTGTGTGATTAAGTGCCTAAAGCCATAGGTGTCATTTCCTTTCCTGGATATGAATCAATC